TTTGGGTTATTTCAGCTAAAATTACTGCGAAAACTTTGCACAAACATACTGGTTTTACCTAAAATATTTCATACTGTTTATGATATGCAACTCCCCAGTAAAGGAATAAAATCTCAAACTCAAAGATTTTAATGTATTGAAACTTCTCAAATATCGAATAAATAACACTCAATAGACTTAATATCAGTTTCTACAATAGTTTAGCAATAATGCTTTATTTTAACGCTTTTGCATTTTTAAAGAGATCAACATTTCATGGACTTTTCCTTTTCAAGTATAGTTTAATAATTCATCAAGAATGCTTCCCCGGCGGAAAATTCAATCCTGAATTACACGTGATCATTTTTCATCAAACACGCATACATCTGTATTAATGTACGGAAGAATTACTTGTTATCTGATCCATCGACTCTTCTGTTGCTCGAGGATGATTATTTAATGTAAAAGAAAATACATTAATATTTACTAAATATGTAATTTACATGTCATTTTATTCAAAAAAATAGTAGTTAATGTATATTTGCATAAAGTGAGGGCTTTCTATTAAGCATTGACGATAAAAGCCTATTAAAAAACTCACAGTTCAGGATCGGCAGATAATCTAAAAAATTGTTATTACATATTCAGTAAAGAGGAAACGCCGTCTAATGAATCCATACAAGAAACGAAACGAAAAGGAATTTATTGTAATATTTATGGCACTATGATTGAACTTCTTAACTTGCGAAAAGACAGTGTATTTTGTCCGGAGAGGATATGAGGTTGTTTTTCTGTCACTGTAGAACCACAATAATGATAATTTTTATTATTTTGCAAATATGAGCCTAATTCATAAACTTATTCGGCCTATGGTAGTAAAATACAAGAAGCCAGGTTATTCAACATTATGCTTAGCTCTTTTCTGACTATTATAGTAAAATATGTTGTAACCCAAAGTGGCGTTTGTTTGTTGTTAAGTGCGAAGCTACGCAATGGGCTGTTTGGGCTGTGCCCACCACGGTATCGAAACCCGGTTTTTGACGTTATAAGCATTCATACTTACCTACGAGCCATTGAAGTCTAATAAATGACAAATTTAAAGTATATTTTTAAGAAATGTAGTCATTTACATATTAAAAGTCGTATATAGTTTTCACGGAAATCGCCTAAGAATAATACTTAAATCATAATTTTCGAAATGTTAACGAGCGATTGACGAAACAAGTTTAATTTTTGCTAATAAACAGACACATTGGTATTTAAAATTGTCGATAGATCCTTCCTTATAACTTGTGTTTCATAGAAAAATTACGTCAGAAAATAGTCAAGCATTATGTAAAAAAAATACATTTTGACAAGACAATAGGTTTTATAAGAACTCAATCAGTGACTAAAGGATTTATGACATTCTATATCTACATATATCTTCTTTTGTCGTTTTTCTTTCAAACAAGTTTGAAATCAAAGGAAACCCACCCGCGTATTTCTCCTTCAGCATAATATCTAGGATTATTTTTGAAAATTATATTAATGTAAGAGAAAATGTTGAGGAAAGATAGTATTTAGTGTCCAACAACCTCCATCAGTGATGGCAGTGTCAGCCGTAGAATATTGTGTTACAGGCAGTATCAGCCGTAGAATATTGTGTTACAATACGCAGAAAAATCGACTGTCTGAAAAAGAACTGTTTAACGTATAACGTTGTGAGTATAAAAGAAGGAACTGTTTAACACATGATGTAGTGAGTATAAAAGAAGGAACTGTTTAACACATGACATAGTGAGTATAAAAGAAGGAATTGTTTA